GAACTTCGAGGAACATGCCCTCGTCTCCTCTGAGGAGAGTTTCGTCTCGGAGTCTAATTCCGAGGTCAAATGTGGGTCCCCCTAGTCCACAAATCAAGCAGTCCAGGTGGACTTCGTCGAATTGGGGACCTTTGCATCCTCGCAAGGCGAGGAATCCCAGTAGTTCTGTGAACCACTGCCAGAACGATTCCATGTCGTTCTCCCCTGACCATTTCTTGTCAGGGAATGCCGGCCCATTCTTTAGGGCTTCTGGCTTCACTCCTTCTGGGTAGGGAGTGAGTATTCTCACTTCAGCCATTCTTATGGCCTTTTCGTACCATTTCTCCAGGTACTCTTCTTGCTCCCCTGCCTTCGCGGGGTCGCTATCCAATGGAGATCTCTCCTTTGGGGGGGTTTTTGCTGGGGGAAATCTTCCTCGCAGCGTTTCTTTGGTTTCAGGTGAATTCGCCTGAAGTTGTATTTGTATTCTCTCATTGTTTTGAGAGGGTGTGAATGAGTTACCTCTCTGTTCGAGAGGTCCGTCATAATTGGATGTTTGGCCGAACCTTTGGTACGTGCCAATTCTCCTTCTAATCTCTGAACGATGCCTTCTTTCGGCATCGTCTTCTCCTATCCTTGGGAGAAGGATCTCCTTAGCGTCTCTGTCGAGTCGCTGGTGATATTCCAGTGTGCTTTCACTGGTGGTTCTTTTCGTGAATTTTTCACGAGTTCTATTTATGTCCTGGACCGTGGTCCAGGGGTGTTTATTTGTTTCCTCACTTTTTTGTGAGGAGTTTATTTCCTTCAGCAAATCTGTTTGTTTGCTGATTTTTTCTGTCAACGCGTCGATTGCGTTGGCCATTCTTTCTAGAGTTATCTCTAGACGAGCCATGCTATTATGGTTCGTTTCCTCGATCTTTTTCTGGATCAAGTTTATCGCGTTTATTATGTGCGATTCCTGGTTTTCCAGGAGGAAGTTTGGTTGGGCGAGCAGTGACTCTCCCCAGTTGACATTTCCGCTTCTGGGGGTTCCAGAATGGGTTCTTGGAGTGAACACTCCACGCTCGCTTTGTTTTGGCGAGGCCGTTGCGGAGGGTGCTTCCCTTTCATAGAGGGGTCTGTTCGCTGGTTTCTCCTTATTTTTATGTAAGGCTTCCTCAGCGAACTCCCTCATTTCAGTTCGCCTCCTCTTCATTATCTCGGAGACCTCCTCCGAAGTTGGCGACCTTGCCTTGTCTGGCATGGTGCGTGGGAGTGTAAACAGCGGAGGTTCTTTTGGAGCTTCCGCGCTCTGAGAGATCCTGCTCTCAGGGCGTATTTTCGCGCCTTCTCGGGCTTTCAGCCTGAGAAGAAGTTGATCTTCACTTTCCGTCCTCCATTCGGACGGAACCTGGAACAAGTCCAGTAGTTTTTCGGATAGCTGACGTGGGGGTTCTTCCCTTTGTTTCCCTTTGTCTGCCTTTGGGGCTTGACTTGGGGATGTGATGGGGAACTCCAGGGGATAGTGGGGCCCTGGGGTTTCCTGCGGCTCTATCCGATCAGCTTTTTGGGCTGATCGTTGGGCGCTTACGCGTTTTTCGTGCAAGTCGATCACCTCGTGAGGAGGTAAGGGATCTTCCCCAGCTTGGGTTAGATTGGTTTGTTGTGGAGTTCTGGGGGTATTTTGCCCCGCACTTACTCCACGTAAGTTTCTAAAGCCTTCAGGGACCAGCCCTGAAGTGGTTGCTAATTCCGGATCGCGTTGATCCTCGTCGTTGTCTGACGACGGCTTTTGGTTTGAATCTCCCATGATGGGAGATTGCGGTTTCTTAATAAACCGCTCGTTTCTTTTTAACGTTGCTGCAGATGCGACCTTGCCCTTGCGGGCGTGTTTAGGCGCCATAAGCGCTTCCGAATCAGATGTTGAGATTGTGTAGTTGTGGGTTGTGTTGTAAAACACACCTCATGCACTTAAAAAAGTGTGAGGTCTTAGGGTTGCTCAGCACACAAGGCCATAAGTGATACAAGATGGTGTATTTTACGGTGGTGTGTAAGCGGTTACCCGGAGGTTCCCGCTTGTCCACGTGACTATATGTATCTAGTTTACATGTGACTCGGGGTTCGGGGCTATTGCCCTGACAAACTCCCCTGATGATCACCACCCCCTCAATCCAATATATTACCTACACCTCCCTAAGTACAGAGCCCTGAAGGCCTCCAGACAGCTCCAATGTCTGCTAGTGCACTCCTGCCTCTGCTGGGCAATTTAGTTGCTTGCCCTGCAAGCTTACCTTTGGGCCAATCCCTCCTTTCTGTTTCTGGGTTATAGCCATCACTCTGCTAAACCCATAACCCAACTTGTTGGTAATATTCAGTCAGCTAACGTGTAACTCCATTAGCTCCACTCTGCTCGGTCCCGTTGTTCATGGGCCTGCTGTCAGGGCACACCTGCCTGACCCGGGTCCACCCGGACCCACCCGGCCACACCTCACCCGCTGCCCCACTGCCCATCCCTCTCCTTCCTCCCTCCTTCCTCTTTCCTTCTTTCCTTTCTCTCTTTCTTTCTTTCTCCCCTTTTCTTTATTTCATTCTTCCCATCATTCTCCCCCTGTTTATTCCTTCTATCTACATGGACCACTTTCCTTTGTATCAATGTATGATTGACCCAGATGGCCACGGCTGTCTCCAAGGATGACATGGCACCCATCATGTGACTCAAGCCACATGTACATAAATGTACCTGAAGTGGGAACCAAGAAAGTAACCTTCTTCTCATCCTTTCCACATCAGGTAAGTAGCATAGTTTTCCCTTTTAATAATAATAACATCCTTCCACTTCAGTCTGAGTGGCCAGGGACTGCTGTCCCTTTCCAGACCTGCCAGTATGCATGCCTGGTTTACACCCCATGAGGGCCCCTCTGCCAGGCGATACATCCAGACCCCTCTACTCTGGATGCATCCCTGACACCTGCCCCCCATGTAACTATATATACATAACTTGTAGATAGGTTACACCCTAGTGATAAAATCAACTAGAGTTACCCCCCTTCTAGTTCTCGTTGCCAGTTAAGTAAATTAGGGCATGGATGTGTAACTAGGCACAGTGCTCCTGGTCTAAGTCGCTGAGGCCAAAGCCCTCTGCCATGGGGATGTCTCCCTTGTCCTGCATCCGGTCTCCGACACCACACCACTCCTTCCCCTCTTGGCCTTGCCCATTTGGGAAGCACCATAGAGTTCCGACCCTTGGCCCTTGGGGTTGTTCCCTCATCCAGTCCCCCTTTGTCTCCTTCCAGTTCCCTTTGTTCCCTTTGGGTTCTCTGACTCCACTCCTGTATTATTATATATACACTCTGTTCATAGTTTCCTGTACCCCTAGTCTGAAATTGACAACTAGAACCAGAATCGACTGGATTGGGCCCCCAAGAGGCTCCCCCTTGCTAACCTGAAATTAAGGACCACCTTAGACAACAAGCAGCAGCACAGCGCTCCACTTGAGTTGCTGAGGCCAAGGTCCCTCCTTACTGAGTCCCTCCTCCACTTCCAGACAACTATGCACTCTTATAACAGTCTGGCTCAGCTCCCAAAACTACACAACCAACTGACCAACTAAGAAGCTGGACCACAAATGGATTGGCCCCTTCTGAATCACCAAGGTGGTGTCCCCAGCAGCTGTGAAGCTGCAGTTCCCCACCCAGCTGAAGGGCATCCACCCTGTAGTCTCGGTCACCAACATCCACCCCTACCTCCCAGATGAGATCACCAAGTGCACAGCAGACCCCTGCCCTGGCCCAGAAGTTATTGATGGAGAAGAAGAATACAAAGTAGAGAAGATCCTAAACTCCAAGTACAGATATGGAAAACTCTGGTATTTTGTTAAATTCTCTGGCTGGCCAAACTCGGAAAATGAATGGCTCCCCCACAAAAACTTAGAGCACTCTCCAGCTAAAATAAAAATTGTTTAGAGGAATTTTTGAGAAAGTCAAAAATGGCTGTGTTGCAGTCAAGGAAATGTGTATAATTTGCCCATATCTTCAATTGTAAGAAGTTACACACAAATTCCTCTGAACCTTTTGTAGAAATCTACTATCTGCACCATATCCCTGATTTATATGCTCTCAGGAGGATACTGGAGAGAGAAAGTACAAATGGGGATTTTTGTTATGGTTTACTTGTACTTGTGCACTGCATCAGGGCAAACACAACCCAGCTGGTACCCTTCACTGCATTTAAGCCAAAAATTTCCACTGTGGAAATGGCAGGGATAACCGGATTTCCACGCAATTTCCCACAGCAGATATTGGTTCTGTCCACTGGCAGATTGAGCATCACTTTACCATGGTTGGGGCTGGGAAATGATGGGGATTTGGTGGTGGCTGATAATCTTGCATATTGATTCCCAATCAAATCCATATCTGGAAAGCACCATTTCCGACAGAGGAAACCATGATGGCATATACTGATCAATATCGCTCATTCATCTCTCAATGTACATACAGGATAATAAACGATAAAAGACAGATGTCCAGTTTGAGCTCTCTGTCTACCTCTATCCCTCCAATCGTTCTCCCTATAGCACTACCCAGAAGTTAGAGTGATGTACCAAGGCCCATCTGATGAATACCAGCATGACTCCCAACCCACTGACGATGACAATATGGGGACTAGCGATGGCAGCTTCACGTCATTTTGATCCCCTCCCATCCCCAGCACTAGTAATGCCAATGACTTTGGGTATTGGAGTACTGGAACCCAAGAGTACTATAGACAAACAGGTATGTCAAGATGTCCAGTAAGGTGTTAATATATTAATGAGAGTACTGACCTACCCAACGTGCTAGGCCCATCTCCCTTAAGGTCACTGCCTAATGACCAGAATACTGGAATGATGAGGAGTCCAGTGGTTGTGGGCCACAGCCCCCACTACTCTTGCTTGCTGGGTGAGGGTTTATTTCAAAGTAACAGAGTGCAGTAATTTAAATTGAGTGATTGGCTTACCAGGATCTGTCCACATGAACTCCAATCCATGACCTCCGAACTACGATATGGATGTCAGTCAGCACCTGAAGCTGCAGGCTAGTGTGGAGGTAAGTATGAGAGCAAACTTGACTGAAGCGATTCAGCCATTGGCTCTAGAGTTACAACCATTGAGGGATGAGATGAACTCCATCAAAGATGAAGTAATGGAGTTGAAGCGAAAGTTTGACGAGAAACCAGATGAGAGTCACTGCAATGGGAGTGTGGCAAAGAAAACCAAGCGAGGTGGGGATGCCGCAATTTGGCTGGAAAAGCTCCGGGTAAGTATTGACTATGTGCTAGTACTAGTGATACATGGGGCTGACAATGATGCTTTTAGGAGTTGATGCGGCAGACTTTTCACCACATACTGGGGATCACGTCAAAGACTCCTGGAATGACAATAGAAGGGGAACAGATCCCTGACCCCCTGAAGCCAGGGGAATCCCTGCTGAAGAGAGCCAATGGGACTCCTCTCTTCTGGCCAGATTGGTGAAAATACGCAAATCACAAACTGAACAAGCCTGCGATCAATGAGGCTCTCAGGCTCTGTTTGGACAGCCCAGTATGTGGGCCTCCATCCCAATGCAAAAGCTCAGGTGCAAGTCTGCTTCCCAGAAATTTAAACACCATATAGAAGAGAAGACCCTTGATGATCAAACAATCCGCAAGGGACTCATCCAGTACTTCAAGCACCTGCGACATGTCTGGACAATGCTGCAAAAGGCTGATGGTCGAAACCAGCTTGTGTCATCAAGAGAGAGGAAGAATCGCTGGGGCCATAAGAAATCGGTAAGCCCACCTCTTAAAAGTAGTCTGAGCCATGATCAAACCGTCCCTGTTATCAGAAAGCCACCAGGCGACATAATGCAATAACCAAGCTATTGGTCAAGTTGACTAATGTCACGGAGTCACAGATGAAGTCTCTTGTACTAACTGACTACATGTCAACAGACTGTGATGATAACACAGGAGCACTGGTGCACAGACAGAAGTGCTGGAGATCACCAATGGTAGGTGGTCAACAAGTTGGCCTGCACACGTCCACCGGGCTATTAAGACTTTGTAGGTCATCAGGTATTACTATGCATTGGACAAATGCTGCCAGGACAACATAGATGCCAAAGCTCCTGGCGAGAGGCCTGCACCTCAAAAATAAGCCTGCAAGTCATTCCTCTGAGGCAATGTCCCGCCAGCTCCCTAAGTTCGCAGTCTTCCATTCATTGGTATCCCAACGCCTCTCTGCAGAGCAGTTGGCTCATATGAAGATCATGGAGGACCCAGAATGGATAATGAATATCGTGATAACTGATGAGATGATAATAGGGGGGCTCACAGTTGAATAAATTCGCCTAAACTGGATCTCAAGTGAACCTAAAGTGACAAAAGTGCATCAAAACTAGATCTAAAGTCGCCACTTTAGGTCCTTCTCGACTTGGGGCTCAGGAGCCCCAATTCGCCTAAAGTCACCCATCTAAACTCGGCTTTAAAACTGAGTAAGTCCACGTTAACACTAACTGTACAGTTTGCTACCTAGGTCACCTGTCCATTCCCTTCACCATGCTGCTGCTGCTGCTCGACATGGATATTGTTGTCACTGTTGTCATCAGTGTCCGAACTAGAACTCAAGAGTGGATCCTTAATTTTAGACATTGGCGTTGTTGATGGTGACATGCATGTATTCACAGAGCATGCTGGAGGGCTGCATGTTGTCATGGCAGATGTGACACAAGGACGAAGGGGGAGGGGGCAGCTTCAGCCAAAGCGTCAGAGGCACTAGTTTCACGTTCACTGTTTCCTTTGTTGAATGGATTGTACATTACACCTATATAAACAACATCATGCTCTAGCTCGACTTCATGCTCCCGTTCGCCCAAGTCTTCATCAAAAGAACCAGTTCAAAGGCTTGACTCAGTTGGGATGGCAATTGATTCTATGTAATGTGTTCAATGTAAATATGCTCTGAGGTTGTTCCTCCAACAGAGCACACCACATGTATGAGGAGCTGGCAGTCGGAAGTAGATGGCATTCGGATGTATAGTGATTGCAAGACACAGAATGGAACGGACTTATGAGATCCAGGCCTGAGCTACTTTGGACACACTTTAGAACCGCTCTAACTGTGAGCGCCCTTGAAGTGACCTAAACTCGACCTAAACTCGCTCTAAACTGAGGCCCCACTTGGGGTGGAATTTAGGTCAATTTTGAACCACTTCAGAACCCAGTTTAGCTCCACTTTAATCAACTGTGAGGCCCCCTAATGGCTGAGGATCTCACAGCACTCAAAAGGTTTGAAGCAGAATCTATAGCATATGAGGGTGACAACGAAGATGAAGGGGTGGATAATGAAGGCAAGGATAATGAGGCTGACAACACAAGGGATGCCTGTCATATCCCTCCACAGGCATCATCTTCCACTACCTCCAATCCTTCCAGACTACCTCCGCTCCTCTGCCACTAACCTCAGAGCCTCCGGTTTCTGTAATCACCTCCGACCCCCCTGATGGTCACCACCTCTCCAATTCAATATATTACCTATGCCTCCCTAAGTACAGAGCCCCGAAGCTCTCCAGACAGCTCCGACGTCTGCTAGCACATTCCCACCTCTGCTGGGCAATTCACTTGCTTGCCCTGCAAGTCTACCTTCGGGCCTATCCCTCCTTTCCGCTTGTGGGTTATAACCCATCATTCCACTAAACCCGCAACCCGACTTGTCGGTAATATTCAGTTGGCTAACATCTATCCCCATTAGCTCTGCTCCGCTTGGTCCCACTATTCATGGGCCCACCCTCGCTGTAACTATATATACATAACTTGTAGATAGGTTACACCCTAGTGATAAAATTGACTAGAGTTGATCCCCCTTTTTAGTTCTCATTGCCAGTAAGTAAATTAGGGCACAGATGTGTAACTTGGCACAGCACTCCTGGCCTGAGTTGCTGAGGCTGAAGCCCTCCACCATGAAGACAACTCCTTCGTCTCACTCCTGTCATATCCATCCCTGGCCATCGACTTCCGGTCCCTCCGATCCCTCCGTTCCAACTCCGCTCCTCCCTCGCTAACCTCGGAGCCCCCATATTCCGCAATCCTCTCGGCGCCCCTCGATGGTCACCACCCCCTCATTTCAATTTATTACCTACGCCTCCCTAAGTATGGAGCCCCGAAGACTTCCGGACAGCTCCGACGTCCGCTAGCGCACCCCCGCCTCCGCTGGGTAATACACTCACCTGCCCTGCAGAGCCCACCTTTGGGCCTATCCCTCCTTTCCATTTCTGGGTTATCGCCTGCCTTTCCGCTAACCCCGTGAACCGACTCGTCAGTAATATTCAGTCGGCTAATGTTTAAACCCCGTTAGCTCCGCTCCGTTCGGCTCCGCCAATTGCGGAACCGTCTCCGCTGTAACCATATATATATCCCACTTGTACATAGGTTACGCCCCAGTAGAAAAATCAACTAGAGTTACCCCCCCTAGGTTCTAATTGCCAGTCAGTAAGTTAGGGCACGGACGTGTTGGCAGAAGTCACTGAGGCCGAAGCCCTCCGTTATGGAGACATTCCTTCATCTCGAATCTGGTCTCTGACAACTCCGGTCTCTAACAATGCCTGAGATCTAGCTAGCAAAGGTCCAACATGGTTGCACGATTGGAACAAAGTAAACATGTACCAACAATGCTAAACAAAATAACATAATATGTACAACCATGAGATAATAATATTTATTATTTTGGGTTAGGATGTTCATACATTTGGATACACAGAGAGTGTCCTAGATATTACAGCAAGGGGATTCTCTCAACATCAAAGTTAGATCCTGTCTCCATTCTGCCATGTTGTAAGAATCTCAGTGGGGGTCATCGAGAATGATGATCAACTACATATGGCATCAATAGTAAGAGTTACTGTTAGAATGTGTGGATTCGGATGACTCCGGAATGGAATCGGAGACTTAGCGTGGAAGGACCTTGGCCTCAGCGACTCAGGCAGAGCACTGTGCCATTGCTGGTTGTCCTAGGGGTCCCTAATTTCGGATCTAGCAGAGGGAAAGTCTCTTGGGGGAATTCAGGTTGATTTCGGACTGAGGTTACAAGTTACTAGGTACATTGTATATAAGGAGGGGTCTGGAATCAAAAGGAACAAGGGTAGGATGAAAGGAGACAAAGGGAGATGGAAAGAGGAACAACACCGAGGGTCAAGGGTTTGACTCAATGGTGTTTCCCAAAGGAGGAATGAAGGGCCAAGGCCCAAGGAGGAAGGAAGGAGGTTGGGAGTGGGGAATGGCTAGCTGAGTGAATAGAAAGGAAGCAGCAGCCCAAATAGGAATGAGGGAGAATAGCGGTATTGAATAGGACAATGCAATAGTTGCAAGGTCCGAGGTAAGTCCGGAAAGTCTGAACTCGGAAGTTAAACTCCGGAATATTGGCAAACATAATTAAATGGAATGAGCTAACCAATACAATGGGTATAAGCGGAGGTGGGGTCAAAGTCCGAGGTCGGAGCTAAGACCGGAGGTTCCGGAGGCGGGGACGCGAACGGGATTCCGGAGCGGAGGCCCGGAGTCAGGAGCATAGGTGTTGCGTACTTGCCTGGAAGGTGTCGAGGTTGGGGTCGGACCCGGAATGTTCCGGAGTCGGACTGAAGGTGGTGTCAGAGCCGGAGGTGGGATAGCCTCTTGGGAGTCAGCAAGGAGGAGGTGACGGAAGGGAAGTAGGACCCCGGAAGTCAGGTTCGGAGTTCCGGGAGCCCGGAGCGGAGGTCGGGATTGTATGGATATGACAGTTACCCATACCCATGTGCCTTGAACTGCCATCGTGAGCCTTGCAAGATGACTCTGAATGGAATCCAGAGCAATGATGGAAACACTTCCATTATTCCACCATTTGTCGGCTTCCCAAACCCGGATGTGAGAGTCTTGGGCACTGTCCAGAAGCATGTACTGCACATCAGTGTATCGACCATAAGTATGGCAATGCTCTTACAAAGGGGCCCACACTGTGTCATGTTTTGGCATGTAAGGGTGAAACCATTTGACCATGCCAAATGCCATTTGCATTGCTCCCATACCGAGATTCTCGTTGAATGAGAGGATATGTGTGTCAGAGACCAGATCGAGACAAAGGAATGTCTCCATGGCAGAGGGCTTTGGCCTCAGCGACTTATCCCAGGAGCGCTGTGCCAAGTTACACATCCATGCCCTAACTTACTGACTGGCAACGAGAACTAAAGGGGGTCAACTCTAGTCGATTTTATTACTGAGGTGCAACCTATGTACAAGTTGAGTATATATAGTTACAACGAGGGTGGGCCTGTAAATGGCAGGGCCAAGTGGAGCGGAGCTAACGGAGTTAAACATTAGCCAATTGAATATTACCGACAAGTTGGGTTATGGGGTTAACGGAATGGTAGGCAATAACCCAGAAATGGAAAGGAGGGATAGGCCCGAAGGTGGGCTTGCAGGGCTTGCAAGTGAATTGCCCAGTGGAGGCAGGAGTGCGCTAGCGGACATCGGAGCTGTCCGGAAGCCTTTGGGGCTCCATACTTAGGGAGGCATAGGTAATATATTGAAAAGAGGGGGTGGTGACCATCGAGGGAAGCAGAGGTGATTGCAGAATATGGGAGCTCCAAGGTTAGTGAAGAGGGAGCAGAGGTAGTCCGGAGAGTTTGGAGGTAGTGGAAGTCAATGGCCATGTATGGATATGACAATGTGTGAGTTCACCACAACATAGTGGTGCATCCAGCAGGACGTGGGTAGTGGTATGCTGTCTGGGTGAGGGTTGACAGCAGTGTATTGATGCAGCCTAAGGCCTGGATGGCAACGCTGCAGATGACCTATTATTACAATGGAATCAGCAAGCATCAGATCGTACTTCTTCTGCGGTGCCGGGCCTAAGCTGATCTGGTTGAGGGGGAATGTTTCTGAGAGTGCATGCTTAGAATTCTGAATTATATACAATGAGAGGGCATACCATCTGCAAGGCCCATATCAAGCTCTCGTGCCAGAGCTTGGACTGTACCCTGTTCATCTGTCGAGGCATTCATCAGGCAAGAGGCTGCTGCCTTGTCCAGCAGATTGGAAGTCGACAATGCCTGGCTAATCTGTACTAAGGTGAATCAAGAAGGGGGACCATCAAAATGTAATTAACCATGCACAATTTGAGAGATGTGAATGGTATGGTGGAATTCACGGAAAAAGGATGCCTTGATTTGCCTGCCACCATGATTATTGGATTTGTAGCTTTTGAGGACCTTGTTCAGACACTCGAATAGGAATGTCCAGAAGCCATAGATGGGGCCAAAGTCCCAGATGAATTCAGCAGTATGGACTGCATAGTGGTGATTGGGTTTGATCATGTCAGGGCCAAAAATCTGATGGCAGCAGGTCAGTGGAGAGATCGAACTTTAATGCAAACCCACCTCAAACATGCCCTTGAGATACTGTAGCATATGGCCCTCACCCATTGCAATCTGCTCTTCAGTTATCGTATGGGATAGCCAACACTTGAGTGCCATTGTGAGGTGGAAAAAATTCATGGGCTCATCTGGGTGAAGCTTAGCCATCCCATTGTTGAGATTGAGACTGCCACCAGTAGTCATTCTCTTCTTCATCAGTTTCCTCTTCTTTGGTGGTGGTGGTGGTGGTCTCGGAGCCTCGTGGCCCCTTGAAGCATTGTCATCCATGGGGGCCTGTGAGGATCTGAGTTTAAGAGCATCCCAAGACAGTGTAGCTGTCATATCCTGGAATCCCGACCCCGTGCACTCCCACCACACCACACCTTCCTAACAACTTCACCATCCCCTACACCATGCCTCCCCACTCCCCAAGTCACCTTCCCTCCTGACTGTCTCAGCTCCGGTCTGGTTGCGGCACACCAAACCTTGGCCACTCCCATCCCGGAAGCTCGATCCCGAGTCGGAACATTTGGAGACCCCGGATTTGCTCCAATATCCCGACGGACCTCCAACATCCTGTGACATGCCCTTAAACCTCTCCTCCACCCATTTCATTTATTTGAGTCACCTAACATCCTTTGGATACGCAACTCCACTTTCGGAGCTACCCGCATCCTTCGGTGATCTCCCTCACATTATCACTTATTAGTCACCTTCTATTCTTAGCACGACTACCTTCTTCCTTTCATTCAGTCGGCTAACCCCCTTTACCCATTTGTCTTCCCCATTCATTTTCCGGCCTCCAACTCCACCCTCCTTGGCCCAACACCTCGGTTCCCCGTTTTAAATATCGTTCGGGACCTTTTGGTACCTCTCGGTATCATACCCGTAGATTAGAACCTGTAGTTCCTCAGTTCTAATCTTGACTAAAATGCCACCCAAAGTCCCTCTGAGTGAATCCCGCTCCCATTCTACAAGATACCTCAGACATAAGAAATACAAGGACTAACTGAGATGTAATGGAGGCACAGCGCTCCCTCCGAGTCGCTGAGGCCATGTCCTTCTTAGAGCCTCTTGTACCATCCAGCAGAAACAGGCTCCCTGAGAAGCTTCGGTTCACTACCGGAGCCCTCAGACCCCCCTCTAGTTGAGCCCTGCCTGCATTCGGACTCACACATTTACCCCCTTCCATCTCGGGTTTTTGACAGTAGCAGTAGGACTGTTGATTGATGTACTGATTGATTAATACCCGAAGCCAGCTTCTCTTGTGCATGTCGCTCCTTCACCTCTTTCTTCTCCTGTTCCTTTTTTTGTATACATTCCTGTATCATCTTCTCCTTGTCAGGGTTCAGCACCCTGCCCTAGGGTGCCCCAGACTCCCCAACCAATCCCTTCCTTCCATTCCTTCATTGTTGCCTTGTTGTTGCCTTTCTGTGTTGTGTATCCATGTGCACAGGATAGTGTGGGAACTTTCTGAGTGAGCAGCTTGCCCAGAATGTTCCCACACTTACTGGGCACTGGCACCTGGATGTTCCCTCCAGGTCACACTACACAACTCTAGGAGCCATATAGTTGTGGGCATGTGACCCATTCCTTTATATAGCAACCATGCGGGGAGATGAGACCTTTACACTTCTTCTCATCTCATGCCCCGCATAGGCAAGTGTATATATTCCCTTTCTTTTACTATACATCTCATGCCCTGCATAGTGTGAGGACAGGTCAGATGGGGGCTGAGGTCAGGGAGCCTCTGAGTCCGAGGCCAGGCCCTGACACTCCTGCTCTTCCTGTGTGTGGACAGCATCTGATGGTAGATATGCCTCCCAAATGATTGGTATTTAACAAAGAGAGTTTAGTCTGTCTTAATACTGGCCCAACCCAATTAACTTACAGTGATGGGCCCAAAAATCGTTGCCATCAGCAGCCACTGATCGGCTGTCAGGGAGCCACCAGCTGGCTCCCCGACTGCCGTTGGGAGTGTTGCCAAGTGACCCAGTACAGTGAACTAATGGCACTCAGTGTGGATGGCACAAGTGGAAAGAAGGGACACATGTTTGACAACAATTCATGGAGGAGGTTGAGTTCGTGTTTTGGGTGCAGGATGCCGAGGGACACCCACATGTGGTAAAAGTGATTTTTGCTGAGACCTGAGTGATTGATGAGCAGCAAATGGCAGAGTTAAAGTGGCACATGGGACTGCACCTAAGATGAGGTTGTGCATTGGATCGAGCACTATCATCCTACAAAGATCAAAGTAGGGGAGTTGGGCTAGTTCACACCAACAATTGGAGTGCTGTTTCACGTGTTTCTCCCTTTGGGCTTTGGTGTGAAGGTTGCGATAAATATCTCCGAGCCATCGATATTCAGTGTCAGTCCATGGAGGAAATCCTAACCAAAAGTCCATTAAGTGAGAAAAGTAAGACGCAACTGAGGAATGCCATACCATCCATTGTGAGTGCCACCGGGCCCTGCTTCCTGGACAGGTTCACCCAACACCACATACAAAACAAGGTATGGCAATGAGATCCAAAGCCTCCCAGTTTGTGTGCTGCCAGCGCATCACAGATGACACATAGAAGGGCCACCCGAAGCCTTCGACCGTTGGGGTTCTGTGGCATCTTCACAATGATTCCATCCTCCCACAGTCTCAACAGATCATTGACGAGAGGTCACATGTACCTCTGGACCTGGTCAGGTGAAGGCTCCTTTGGCCCCAGGATAATGCCAGTGAGGAGGAGGTTGGATGTTTTGTATCTATGGGAGACATTAGCATAATCCACCTAGAGAAACCCACCATCCACTGACTTGAACATTGGAGGGAGGTTGGCTATGCACAAGGACATTGGCCCAGAGGAGTGAGATGCGGCCTGGAGAGAGCAATGGTACGAGAACCTGACATCAAACATGTGAGGGTTATGTGCCAACATCACTCAACACATCGCTCACCAATCAGCACCTAGAGTAAGCCCAATGCGCAGCTCACTGTTCGGGCCACATAAGTGATCTTCAGGGTCATTCCGAAAAAAAGGTTGGCCATCAGGGCCTAGTGTCGAGCGTGCAACCTGGCTGTTGAATATATCCTGATATAAACCCTGTTCTGGGTGTCGATTGGGTAACCTGCACCACTCATCAAGAAGCTCCTCCATGCTGGGTTGCACAAGTAGCTCTTCCAGTTGATGGCTGATGGATTTGAATGCAAAGCGCCGCCTGGGCTCACATTGTTTTGACAGACCACAACAGTGCCTGGAGTTTTGGAACCCTTGAGCATCGTCAAACAGACAAGTAGACTCCTCATTTTTAGCACATTCAGGACAGAAGTCAGGGGTCGAAACGAGAGCAGGATAAACTTCTTGGCAGACAGGGCAAACAGGAAGGATCTGGAAGTCCATCTGGCTCTACTTCCATATGTGAGTGGACAGTGGTCAGTGTCATGGCCGAAAGGATGCCCTCGTTGGTATCAGAATTGGTGAGAAAGGCGATGATAAGGCGAACAACAGATAGAATTGCCCTGATTACACGAAAGGACACATGGTGATATGCATGTAGCCAGATAGCCAAGAGGTACAATATTTGAATCGGTGCCCAAGCATGCGTCAATGAATAGGGAAGAGTGGTGGATGATGATGATGGGATTTGAAATGGATCAGGGGAATTCTCATCTGTCCCATCCGGTACTGAGACAGAATATGTGAGAGGAATCATCGGCACCGAAGAGATGGGCAGTGGGTGTGAAGCCACAGG